GAGGCTCGGATGAGGGTTGATTATGTTGCCAAGTAGTGAGGGTGGTGTTACGGCTGTATGTCAGATATACTAGGATTTGTATTGGAATTATGGTTTAGTGGTATGATTCTTGGTTAGGATTCGAAAGGTCTCGGGTTCAATTTTCGGAGAAGCCATTAGTATTGGTACTAGCAGAATTATCGATATTATATTAAATGGATGGTTAATGCAATAACAAAGCATTTGAGTATGCTATCACTCTGCTGCCACGGTTGCATTCATTCAGATGCGAAGGTGTAAAGATATCAGAAGATGGTATGTTGGCACTATTGAGGACCGGGGAGGGGGACATGAGGAAGGTCCTTAATACCCTCCAAAGCTGTACACTCAGCTACCCTTCTCATACAGTCGATGCCAATATTATACATAAAGTAGCGGGGCTACCTGAGACCTCAACTATCGATAGGTTAGAAGCGGTAGTAGGGCTACTTGCTCTGATGAGATATCATTTATAGTGCGCTCAGGTATTGTGTCAAAAGCCGCTGAGGGAAGGGATGATGGTGATAGAGGAGCTGCGGGTGAAACATGTAATGTCCAATCATCGATTCGTGGAGTTATCGCACAGTGAAGGTTTTGGATGCGTTATTCCATGTAGGGTTACAGCGTGGCAGACCTCCTACGTGAGATCCACGACCGTATGGTGACTGTTGACATGCCTCCGAGGGCGCGCAACCTCCTCTTCAGGGATCTTGCTGAGATCGAGTAAGTTCTGACCCTCTATTATTACGGATTATTGGCCTCGTAGATACCGCCTAAGTAGTGGGTGCAGCGAGAAGGTCCAGGGGGCCGCTCTGGTGGGCTCCTTCCACGAAATTCGAGAGATGATGGTTGCCAAGTAGCTTCCTAATTTTTTGCATTATTCGATTCTCTGTTGTGTTGGAATAGTATGGATGATAAAGGGTGGCAAAGGTACGCTTGCTATCAAATGCACGAAGTTGTTGTTGATGCTTTGGCAACCTTTTTCCCCCATAAGAAAGACACCTCTCTCGAATGATACCTTTTATTACTAGCAAGGACTGTTGATTACTAGCGAGAACTCGACAAGATACAAATCATGTCCAACCAAGGCCTTTTCGAAGATCTGTCATAACAGA